ATTATAAGCTAACCGTTGTGAATCGGGCTAAAGTAAGGCGATAGTGTTGAGCACTATGAGTGTTGAGTCTGGCTGGTTATGTACAGGCTCAAATATTGATTTCAGATCATTTTGAATCAAAAAAAGTTACGGACTGCAGCTTTAAGATATAGATTTTAGAACGAATCAGACTTACAAAGCACATCAACTTTAATGGTGTGTGATCCTGTGCCAATAGTGTTGGTAACATCACAAGTGTACTGCCCTGCATGTTGAATGGTAATTTTCTTAATGTATAACTGTCCAGTTTCCATTGATAATGGGACAGAAGACAGTCCAGGTTTGTGCTTCCATGTGTACATGTGTGGTGGAGGGTCACTATCAGCAGAGCACGTCAAAGTCAGTGGAGTGCCCACTTTTACAGAGGCCACGCCCTTTATTTTGATGTTTCTTGGTGAATCTGTGAGAACAGAAAAACTAAAATTTAGAAGAGCATCACACTTAGTACAATATAATAAAATATTAATGCAGGTTTTGGTAAGAATATATAATACTAACTTATTACGTAACTTATGTAAAGAGATTCATCCTCTAACATGGTTTTAAATTTAAAGCATTTTAGCTTTCCAAATGACAATGAGTAATGCTAACTTTTATTATCATAACTTTAGTTAACTTTTAGAGTTTGATATCATGTTTAGCAAACAAATAATTAACACATTTGTTTGTTGAAGGAACAAATAAATAATATAAAGTGCTACAAATAATGTAATACTTACGCATTACAGAAACCCAGAGGTCATCTGATTTAGCTGTTTTTATGCCATTATCAGCCCGGCACTGGTAAGATCCTTTGTCCTCTGCAGTAACTTTACTGATGATGAATGTCTCACTGGTTTCACTCTGGACTTGGGGATATTTGTACCATGTAAACGTATAGACTGTTGGGTTACCTTTCTGGACTAAACACTTGAGTGCCAGTTTGTCTCCCTCTGTGAGATCTTTAACGCTGACCAGAGGTTGCAGTGAGACACCTTGTGGACCATCTAAAAATGCAGCGCACAGGCACAAGAAATGCATATTTATTACATTTTAAAATACAATTTAATTATTTTAACAAACGAAGCACTAAAGTTCATAATCTGTATGACTTTCTTCAAAGGTAAACATAAAACATTTTACTCACACTTCACATCAATTTGAATGGTATTTGATTCCTTTGCTCCATGCTTGTTTTCAGCTTCACAATAATATTCTCCACTGTCTTCTGGTTTCACACTAATTAGTGTCAAGTCAGATACTTGTTGAACTTTTTCTGTTTTCTCTTTTTTGAACCACTTGAAGCTGACATCAGGGCGACCTGTGCTGGTGCAGGAGAGAGTGACAGAATCTCCCTCCTTTACATCTTCAGAGCTCACGGTTGCCTTTGTCTCTTTAGGTGCATCTAGAGAAGAAAAGAGATGAAGACAGCTGCTGTGAATAATGCTCAGTCAGTGACTGTGTACAGTAAATATACAGTGTTTGTTCATAAACACATGATGTACACACTCACATTCCACAGACAGTGTGATATTCCTGATCTGGCAGCTGTCCTCACTCTTCGCTGGACGACAAGACAGAATCCTGTTGTCATCTTTCCATGTCACTTTGAGCAGCTTCAATTTGGTGACCTTTCTGCCTCCTTCTTCCTCTTCAGTCACTGTGATCATATCAGTTGACAAAGAGGAAATCCATTCTTGCTTGTGTCCTGATGTATAGATGAGCCATTCAGGATGTAAATTGCACGAACCAAATGTGGAACAGCGAACAGTGAATTCTTCTGACTCTTGGAGTGGATTTTTTAGCTCTGATGGTTCAATGTGCAACTTACAAGGATTGTCTGGAATCAGGAGAAGAATATGGAGTGAGAACAAGTGATCCAGAACAAAGAAATCTGTTATCTCAGTTACATGTTCTGAGAAAAAATACCGGATGTGTGAGAAATAAACTCAGTTCTGAGGAAAAGCACAGTTTGTGAGAAATAAACTTGTAAATGTTGTAACTGTGAGGAAAAAGTCAGAATTGTGAGTTAAAAAAAATCACAATCATGTTTATTTCCTATTATTCTGTGGCAAAGTTTGACTTTTTCCCCACTATTGCAAGTTGATATCTCAAAATCCAGGCTTTTCTTCCCAGAATTATATCTCACAATTCTGACTTTTTCTGGTTACTCATCAGTGGACTTTCACACATTTCAAACACGATCTGACTCTGAAGTTCAGTTCGTCATCTTCTTCTGATGATATATTTTTTTTATATATATATGTTTATGTATGTTTATATGTATATGTATTTTTTTTTTTGCCGGTTTAGCAGAACACAATGTTTTTGTCATATGCTGTAATTACATGAAGTTTAAGGCCCCAAAAACTTACTGTCCACTTGTTTAACAACTTGACAATTTCAAATTGTATTTACTCTAAAACTCTATTGTTTTTTTGTGACAATTCTTTGCACCAGACAATGGGAACAGTGTGAACAGACCTTTAGTCCAACACACTAGATTGGGTGGCCAACGTCGATCCTGGAGGGCCACAGTCCTGCAGAGTTTTGCTCCAACCTTGATTAAAAACTCACCTGTTTGTGACTTCCTAGTAGCACAGTCCTTGATTGGCTTGTTCAGGTGTGTTTCATTAGGGTTGGAGAGAAACTCTGCAGGAATGTGGCTCTCCAGGACCGACATTGGCCACCCCTGCACTAGATGCTCTTAAATCAGGGCTGTCCAAACTCGGTCCTGGAAGGCCGGTGTCCTGCAGAGTTTAGCTCCAACCCTAATTAAACACACCTGAACCAGCTAATCAAGCTCTTACTAGGCATAGAAACTTCCAGTCAGGTGTATAGAGGCAAGTTGGAGCTAAACTCTGCAGGACACCGGCCCTCCGGGACCGAGTTTGGACAGCCCTGTCTTAAATACTGTTTACTAAAGTTGTTGGACCGACATTGGCCACCCCTGCACTAGATGCTCTTAAATCAGGGCTGTCCAAACTCGGTCCTGGAAGGCCGGTGTCCTGCAGAGTTTAGCTCCAACCCTAATTAAACACACCCGAACCAGCTAATCAAGCTCTTACTAGGCATAGAAACTTCCAGTCAGGTGTGTAGAGGCAAGTTGGAGCTAAACTCTGCAGGACACC